AATAAAAGTGACAGGTATCTAAATCTCTCATTATCACTCTACATCCAAGAAGAAGGGAAGAAAATAAATACACAGAAACTCATCTCCATAGCTTAAGTAGAATGTAGGAGATGTACAAACGTTAAAATCTATAATTGGAAAAACAAACATCTTTTGTAAACATTTTTCTCACATTTCTTCATTATAGAACACAAGAGACTGGTTGGAAGAGAGACTGTAGTACCAGCCAACAGAGAGAAACTGACCTGATATCACCAGCCTCTAGAGGATCCCATTCTGGGTGAAGATGCAGTTTGAGTAGTTTTTACCCCAAGAAGCTGGCTTGAGAAGTTAAGATACCAAAAATAAGCTGCCACAGCTGAGCTAGAAGGTACACAACTACCATACATCAAATTATGTAACTTGCTTGTAAGTAGAAAATATGCAAATCCCAGTGAGCTACCTCTAGCATGCCTGTAACTTCTGCACAGAGGGCAAGGGCCGACTGGAGAAAGCAGAGTGCAGGGGGTGGGGGTGGGGGTGTAGCAGAAGACCTAAAATGAATCTTAAATATTTGTTAGTCAGTCTAAATTGTCAGCTAGACTAAGTCATAAGACCTGCATTTGCCTGTGTGTTTGTGTGTGTCACACAACATAAAAGTAAAAAGGATAATTATTGGTAAGAAAGGATCCCGCAGAAATGGGAGAGTAACAGGAGAAAGAAGTGATGAATAAGATCACAATATATTCTATTTAGGTATGTAATATTAAAAAAAGTGTTTCAATGTGGAAGGTCAGTACAGGTTCACCACTCTGTCAAAGGTGTCCCCTTCTGCATAGGCATTCTTTTTATTTATACTTTATTGTAATCTGGCATTTTACTTAATACTCTCTATTCTATTTTCTTTTGTTTGTTTGTTTTGAGACAGAGTATCTCTGTCTTGGCTAAGTTGGTTTTACACCTGTGATCTTCCTGCTGCCCCAGCCTCGCAAGTACTAGAATTGCATGTGAGCCCATAATGCCACTTTATTACTTTTGATTTTTATTTTCTACATTTCTTCTTCCAGTGTGTGTCCTAGTCCTTGCACTGAAGAAAAGTTAAGTTATGGTTGGAGCACTTTCGCCATTGCCTATCCATCTTGAGACTATTGCAAGCTCCTTTGTCACGTATTAAATACTGGGGTGCTGTAGTACTGAGCATCTCAAATGTAATTACAGAAATAGGAATGAAGAGCCAGGATGTATAGTACAAAGAAACAAAAGGTTTACATTTTGGAGGTAAAAATGCTTGCTTGCATTAAAAATTGACATTTTAATCCTCAGGAAATAAAGAAAAAAAAGTGTTTCAAAAAATTATGGACAAAACACAAAAGAATACGTCACATGAAGTGTGAAAACACTGAAACATCCTTAGAATTGCAAACATTGATAGGTAGAAATTAAGATGAACTCCTGGTTTGGGGTAGGACTTTAAAGGTCATGATTTCTGGTAAAGAAAATATGAAGAATATTTTTCCTTTCAAGATGGGTAATAAACAAAACATCAAGTAAAAGGTAAAAATGTAAGGCTTTAAAACAGCAGAGCAAATAAAATAAATCAGAAAATACAATCCATAATATGATCACTGTCCCAAATAATTTTTTAACTATGAAAAGTAGACCTATGCTGCTAGACAAAAAGCACCCTCACTCTATAAATGCTTAAGCCAGTTGGATGATCAGGCAAAAACACAGCTATTGATTCTGAGAGGAAAGAAAAAAAAATCTGTTGATGAAATTCTCACCCCTCAAAAAGCTATGATGGTCAAGAAACTAAAAGAATACTCCTGAGTACTTTTGCTTTTGTTAAGGTGACAAAGGACAACCAGCAGACTGGCTTGGAGCAGCACAGAATGATTTTGTGTTTTCAAAACACTGTCTCACTTTGTAGGCCCAAGCTGGTCTCAAACTTACTAGTACCCACAGTAGACTTTAACTCCCAGCAATACTCTTGCCTCAGCTTTTCAAGTTTTGGAGTGACAAGCATGAACTGCCATTCCCAGCAACACAAATGGCTGAAGTCAGAAAAGCATCTCACAAATATATGTGTACATGTTGATATATATATATATACAAAGAAAATAGCAAAAATGAGTTATTATAGTGTTGAGCAGTCTGAAATGGGTAAAATCAAAGAGATTATTGCTTTTAGAGGCATCAATTTTAAAAAAATCCACTCTTTATTTCTTTGCATACTTCAGTATCTAAAAGCACTCTTCTCTCTTTAAAAGGTGATCAGATCTAAAAAGGCTAAGTTTTACTGTACAGAACTGTTTTTGGTAAACTAGAATTAGAGGTATTACAAGTAATATGCATGATTACAGATGGAAAGACTGAATGATAGATAAATAGATGTGGAAAGAGAGTTACCTATGTGTGTTTGTGTGTGTGTGTGTCTGCATGACAATGCATGCAAATGCAATACATGCATTCCCTAGTCCTATTCCCTGATCACCCAGAGCAACTGGAAGCAGTTTCACTACAGTCATGGTGAATACGCTTCATATTCAGGTCTTAGCTTGAAAAGGCTATTTTCTACTAACAAGAAGTAATTCTTCAGAGAAATGGCTGGCCTCAGACCCCAAACTGGGAAAGTACATCATGAACTTCAAACATCTTGTTCTGTAGAAAATATGAACTGGGCAAGGGACAAGGTAAAGTACAGAGGGTGCAGCTTGGAGTATGCATACTTTGCCAAATTAGGTGCAATGTGAGTATCAGCATCAGTTATGGTAGTAACAGACCATAGCACATTCAAATACAAAAATTCATTATACTGAAATAAATTCTTAAAAAAGAGAAAAATCTGTCCCTTACTGTGCCTTATGAACTAAAGATGTAGAAGAAATAATGGAGTTAGAAAATGACTATTTGATAGCCATCATAGCAACCACCAAATTAACCAAAAATAAAAAGGAGCAATGGATGTTAACTGTAATAATAGCTTTGAAGATTAGACCATTAATTACACACCTTCAAAGTTATCTATCATAAGGTACACACTCTATATAAAAGGGAAAAATTTTACTTCATAGTAGAAAGTACTGGCAGCCCAGCCATAACAAAAATAATCACAAAATTAATAGCAATGGCACAGACTGTCATTTTTTTTTTCCTCTTGATAGGATGCCCTGGGAACTAATAATTTCTGTGATATTCTTTGGGAAAAAGCATAGCTGAAAATCATGAGGAAATGGCAGACAAACCCAAACTTAGAAACATTCTGCAAAATAGCTACTATGCACTCAGAATTATCAAGATCATAAAAGACCCGGTTAATCCCAGTACTCAGGAGCCAGCATCGTCTATATGAGTTCAAGGCCAGCCAATGTTAACTGTGTTAAAAAAAATGCAATTAGACAAACAAACAACCAAATAAAAATATTCCCCCCAAACCCAAAGGAAATCAAGAATGAAAGAGAAATTAATGAAGTCTTCTTAGTTAAAGGAGATTAAATAAAAAGGTATGACATATGTAACCCAGATTCTGGAATTTTTGATAAAGGACATTGTTGAAATAATTTTAGTTTTTGAATAAGGTCTCTATATAAGCTATGCTGTGTTAACATTAATTTTTATGGATTTTATGATTATGTTTTGTTTATGAAAGAGAATTAACTTACTTTTTCAAAACAGAAACTGCAGAACTGTATCTGCAACTTACTGTTAGTGAGTCAGAAAGGTATCACACAAAATATGTACATGCATATTGATATGTAAGTACATACAAAAAGAATAATAATAAAAATATAATAAAAAAAACCCTCAAACCCTTTGGTAGTCTTCTTCAAGGGTGGAAGAAAATATTTTGTACTACACTTTCATTTTCCTTATTTAAAAAAGTGCTCTTAATATTATTTTGAAATTTAAGACAATATGTTTAATCATATTCTTTCCCTTCTTCTTTCCAGATTCTTCTCCACTTCCCTACCTAACCAACTTCATGATTTTTTCTCTCTTAAAAAAAAAAAAAAGACATTACCCTTCAGGGTATCAAAGCAGAGGCTGAGACACACAGCCAAACTTTGGGCAACAGGCTGGGAATATTAAGAAAGAAGGGGGAAAGAGAAAGACATGGAAGGAACAGGAGCTCCACAAGGATAGAAAAAAAAATCTGGGCCCAGGGGTCTTTTCTGAGACTGATACTCTAACCAAGGACCATTCATGGAGATAACCTAGAACCTCTGCGCAGAAGTAGCCAATGGCAGCTCAGTGTCCAAGTGAGTTCCATAGTAATGGGAACAGGGACAGTCTCTGACCTGAACTGATTGGCCTACTCTTTGATCACCTCCCCCTGAAGGGGAAGCAGCCTTACCAGGCCACAGAGGAAGACAATACAGTCACTGCTGATAAGACCTCTTTGACTAGAATCAGATGGAAGGGAAGGAGAACCTCCCTACCAGCAGCCTGGGGAAGGGGCATGGGGAGAGATGAGGGAGGGAAGGTTGGATTGGGAGAGGGAGGGAGCTACAGTTGGGATACAAAGTAAATAAACTGTAATCAATAAAAAATAAATAAATAAAATAAAAAAGACAGAACCCCAAACAAAAGATGTACATGCATGTTCACAAGTATACAACCATGTGCATACATACATGTGCTTGTATGCACCCCCACACAAACAAACAAAAAAGAACAAAACAAAAACATGGAATCTAGTTTATGTTAATTTATTTCTCCTTCCCTGGAGTGTGGTTTGATATATGCAGTGTTACTCCATTGAAGAAAACTGATTTTCCTCTACCTGCAGCTGTCAATTACAAATAGCTCCTTGGCTAGGGGTGGGACTTTTCATCTACCATCCCTCCTCCACACTGGGATTTTATCTGGCTTGAGCTTGTACTGGTGCTGTGCATGCTTTCAAAGACTGTGAATTCATATTGCATAGGCACTGCTGAGTCTGAAAAATGTGTTTCTTTGCAGTTATTTTTTTCTGTAGGCTTAAACTTGGGTTCAGAAAAGTCTTTAAAAGTTCTACAATTTTGCTTGTTTTGGCAGCACGTATACCGAAATTGGAATGATAGAGAGAAGATTAGCATGGTCCGGCGCAATGATGACACACAAATTCGTGAAGCGTTCCTTAATTTTATGCATGCTGGAGATGTTGTAGAGAAAGGGTAACTCTCCTCCATTGCTGGTGGGAATTTAATCTTGTACAACCACTTTGGAAATCAATCTGGTGCTTTCTGAGAAAATTAGGAATAGTGTTATCTCAAGATCCAGCTATAACACTCCTAGGCATATAACCAAAAGACGTCCCACCATTCAATAAGAACATTTGCTCAACTATGTTCATAGCAGCTTTATTTGAAATAGCCAGAATCTGGAAACAACATAATGTCCCTCAACAGAGGAATGGATACAGAGACTGTGGTACATTTACACAATGGACTACTCAACAATTAAAAACAAGGACAATCATGAAATTTGCAGGCAAATGGTGGGAACTAGAAAAGTTCATCCTGAGTGAGGTGCCAGAGCCCGCAGGCAGAGTCAAACAGTACCTGAGTGGAGAGTGAGGATTTAAAATAATTAAAACAAAACACACTATACACGGGACAGATTGAGAGGGCTGTCAGTATGAGTGAAGCAGCAGCATGGGTTTATTCCAGGGTTCATTTTTTTATATGTAAAGCAAAGACAAGTCACATCAATTCAAAAAGAAAAGGTTCATGGAAATGTCCAACTTACTTTTCAAAAACTATCTCCCTATAGTGGATAAAGTCCTATTCTAAAACTAATTCCCTAAAACAGTTATAGTCCAAGGTCACACAGGTAAGGAATTTGGAATAGGCTTTTAAGGAATTTGGCGAACCTTCCTCCTTTCTTTGTCAAGGTAAAGGCCAAGATGAAAATACAACAATGTAGCTTAAGGAAGGGCTTTCCACAGTGAGGTAACCCAGAAGCAGAAAGACATATATATCCACTTACAAGTGTATATTAGCCATATAATATAGGATAAAAATACTAAAATCTATAGTCCTGAAGAAGCTAGACAACAAGGAGGACCCTAGGAAAGATGTTTAATCCTCATTCAGAAGGTCAAACAAGATAGACATCGGAAGTAGGAAAAGACAAGGAACAGGACAGGAGCCTTCTGCAGAGGAACCCTGAAAGACGCTACCCACCAGGGTATTCTGAGGAGATTCTGAGACTCATAGCCAAACTTTGGAAAGAGTGTGGGGATCCTTATGGAAGAAGAGGGAGATAGAAAGACCTGGAGGGGACAGGAATTCCATAAGAAGAACAACACAGCCAAAATACCTGGGTACAGGTGGGCTTGCAGAAACTGATACTCTAACCAAGGACCATGCATGGAGAGGACCTAGACCCCTTGTTCAGAGGAAGCCCATAGGCTACTCAGTTTCCAAGTGGACTTCCTAGTGAGAGACCAAAAGATAAATTAGCAGCTATTATTAGGACCTGAAGTAGGTAGGTAAAGAAGTCTAGTAATGCCCTGAGGGGAAGAGCCACCTCACTTCATTCTTTCCCCACTCACTGGAGATACAGTTGCTAGGAAACTGGACCATCCCCCTAGGGAGGGACACCAGGTCATTAATGATCTGGGAACCTTCCTATAGCCAATCAATTCAAAATGTAGCATTTTAACCAATAGATGCTTGACAGGCAAGAATCGCCCCTGCCTTGGGCATGCTGGGATGGACCAGAATCTTTAAATCACCCAACTAACCTGGGAACAGCGCGCTCGGCTCCCACTGCTTCGGCGGTGGGTGTGTGTGGGCTCAAGCTGCAGCTTGTAATTTACAATAAAAAGAACCTCATGTATTTACAGCGGAGTCTGTTTATTCCTGGTCTTTTGGGGTTCGTGAACTGGGCAGAACACTAGTAAGGGATACAGGGGCTGTCTCTGACATGAACTCATGTCTTTGATCACCTTTGATCATGTCTTTGATCAGGCTCTTTGATCACCTCCCCCTAGGGAGGACAGGCCACAGAGAAAGATGATGCAGCCAGCCTTGATGAGACCTGACAAGTTAGGGTCAGATAGAAGGGGAGGAGGTCCTCACTTATCAGGGGAATAAGGAAAGGGCACAAGGGGGAGAAGAGGGAGGATAGGTGGGCCTGGGAGGAGATGAATAAGGGAGCTACAGCAGTGATACAAAGTGAATAAATAATTTAATTTAAAACAAGTCTGACAATTGTGCTTAGTGAAATGAAATTATGCTATTTGGATTGTTTGTTGAAGATTTCTGTAAGAAATAAAATATAAAATACATATGCAGTCCCAATCTGCCTCTTTATAAAATATTAATACATAGCATACAAAGGAGGAATTACTCAAGAAAGGAAATAATGGTGGCGAACTGGTCCTGAGTTACCTTAACCTAGTGTTCAATGTTGACATTGCTACTATTGGGACACAACTGTGACATGTATGTCCTAATATTATATAATGAGTAAGAGACAGAAATGATCAAAGAGAAAAAATGACAACTAGATGTAATCATGAGGTAATGTCCTCTCTCCACTGGAATATGAACTCTAGTGGACAAAGGACATCCCCGCAGTAAGTGAGGGTCATGAAAAATAAAGACTAAGGAAGTGTTTCAAATTAAAGAAGAGCAAACAGACATCAGAGCTGACTGAAATGCATGAGCTCAGAAAATCTTGAAACATTTCTGGTGAAATGATCTTTGGATACATTTAGAACATGAATCTGCAAGCTCCGTTTCTTTCTCATGCTATGAAATTGCTTAACGTGCCTTGCACTGGTAGTGCTGAGGGTTTTGTGCAACAACCTTAGTCTGCATTCAATTGCTTTCTTTTACATGTGAGATCTTATCAGGCTGCTGCAAATGGTGCCAAACTCCAGCGTATAAGAAATCCTTCTGCCTCAGCCATCCATGCAGCTGGGTCTACAGGCATGCTCCTCTAAACCCAGCTCAGAGACATTTCATGGAGGGATATCTTCATCTGAAATTTTGGTTTTTCCTTCGCAATTGATCTGTCTCTACCCCGGTTCACACGCTAAGTTTATTTGGCCTAAAATTAATTAAAAATTCCAAGCTTCTCTGCATAGATTTGTACAAAATTATTTTGTCTAAAAAAACAATCTATATTTATTATCTTTCAAAAATTTCTGAACTTGTTTGAATTATTATTTTAGTTTGGACTATGCCATACTCTATTGCCCAGCAGGCTTTATAGTGAAGCACCCCCTTTCTCTTCCGTATGACCTCTCAACACAGGTTATTTCAGTGTCACCACATGAAAATGGTCTCAGGATTCCAAACACAACAAGAACAGAAATAACCAATGCATAAACATTTGTAGCGCACTGTGTTTCTTCAGGCACCATCAGTTTAAGCCACTAACATGGCCAATGAAATGCAGTATGTGTTCATATTAGGGGTGCACCTGTAACCACGACTTTCTCAATAATTGGCAGTTCTGGTGTCCTAACCAGTTTACCAGTTCACTAGCTGATGTCTAGGAATTGATGGATCTTAAAGATATCAGATATTTTAGGTCTTTCCTCCATCAGTTGGGTATTTGAAATTCTGGCCAGGTATGGCATGCTTACTACCTTTCTGGGATAATCCTGCATCATCCAATAACATCTGCCTAAACCAGCATATTGCAGTATCTATGTGTAAGCCAGTTCCATTCTCCACTTACTTTGCTAACTGGTTATACAGGAAACTCTTCTTGAGGATCAAGGGGAAAGCAGTAATGTATGTACTATTGTGCCTGAGAGTACTTACATCCATACATCCATTATTTCCTAAAAGAAAGAAATAGACAAATTTGTAAAGGAAAATGCATTTTTGAACAGTACAAACTAACTGGGAGAGACAGACTCCTGCTTTTGCCTGGCCTTTTTTGTGGCAGTTTCACAATGTTATAGAAAGGATGAAACAGGGTCTGAGACATGGCTCAGTAGTTAAGAATACTTGGGTTCAGTTCCCAGCACCCATATGGCATCTCACAGCTGTCTGTAACTTCTGTCCCAGGAGATCTGACTCTCTCTTCTAGCCTCTGTGGGCACTGTGCGTATGTGGTACACAGACATACTTGCAGGTTAAACCCTCATACAGGTAAAATATAAAAAAAGAAACAAAGGCCAGAAACTATGAATATTTTAATTTATTGAAACTATATGTAGTCTCTTTCTGGAAGTCATGATCCTTTTCTCTATGACACCAGAGTTTCAGTCTTTCCCTTTTCCCACCATAAGACACCTGAGAATTTTTAAAATTTGGCGTCTATTGTTTCAATAATCTGCAAGCCAAAGGGAGGAAATGTGGCCCTCTGGAATGTTTCTTTTCTTGAATAGGGACAAGAGAGAGTAAAGTGTGTGTGTGTGTGTGTGTGTGTGTGTGTGTGTGTGTGTGTGTGTGAATTTTGTCAAAACACATCACTAGTGGCCACATCCTTAATGAAAACCAACTTTCTCCTAGAAACTTGCAGCTTGCCTATATATGCTGCAGAGGAAGGCAGTAAATCCAGGCACATACAGACACCACTGATTGAATTACAGAAAATGAGGACGTGAAGTTGGGAGGGGGACTGGAAGGAGGTAGAGTGAAGTAGAGTAGATAGAACCAAAATTTATTGTATACATGTACAAAATTCTCAAAAAAAAAAAAGAACTAAAATTTCAACAAACAACAAAACAGAAAAGAGAATAAGAATGAGTCCCTCTTTCCTGTCCTCCACCACAAGCTCATATATGGCTCTTTGCTACATGATTGCAAAATACAGCACCTTTCATGGAGCTAGGGAACTCGGCAAGCAAATGGAAATGGCATCAGCCTAGATCAACATTTGGATATACGTGCCCTACCAGCTGAACATACCCAAATTCTGCCATGAAGGCATGCCCTTCACACATCTTTAGAGTAGCTTGCAGCCATAAGTTCAGTCGAAGCCTCTTACTCTCCACTCCCATAAAAGCCACCTTTTCTTCCACTCTAGTCCTATAATCACTCAAGCCCTGTTCTTTACTCACTGACACATAGGCTCTTGTTCCCATACATGGCTTTATGGATGTAACATTACATCCAGAGATGGGTGAAAGTAGCCAGGCCTCTCAGCGTATCGTCCCATTTCCAAACACTGAGGAC